GAGACTCAAAAGGTCCCATCTCCCTTGACAAATCTGGATTGTGGTTTATTAAAGGTAACAATTAGTGCTGTCCAACAAATACTTCTGATTCTCTTCCCAGGTACATAATAAATATGCGCTTCCCTGCCCCCTTTGAAGTTTGAAGTGGTCCTGTGATTTGCTTTATAGCTGAAGAAATGTGAGCGCAAGAGCCAGTGCCAAATTGACAAGTTCTCTTACTGAAATGAAGCCATCCTCAGTAAAGAGGGCAGAGCAGGCCGGGCACAGTGGCTTATGTCTGTAATCCCAGCACCTTGGGAGGCCAAGGAGAGGTCAGGAGAGCAACCTGGCCAACATGGTGAAACCAGTCTCTACTAAAAATACAAAAATTAGCTGTATATCATAGCCGGCACCTATAATCCCAGCTACTTGTGAGGCTGAGGCAGGAGACTTGCCTGAAACCAGGAGGCAGAGGTTGCAGTGAGCCAAGATTGCACCATTGCACTCCACCCTGGGTGACAAGAGTAAACTCTGCCTCAAAAAAAAAAAAAAAAAAAAAAAAAGACAGCAGAGTCCATCAGGTGACCTACGATGGACATGAAAAGAATGTGAGAAACTAGCCTTTGTTTGTTGTTGTTACCACAGCAGACCCCAGCCTATCTCGCCTGATTCTGTATGGCTGACACAGGAACTAGAACACTCAGAGCTCATGTCCCCTGGCCCCATCAGGTCACAGCTTTCACATTATTTCTCTTCTTTATGCCTCTGACCTGTAAAATGAGAAACCGTCTTTTGGAGGAATGCACATGGGTTATTCCAAGCAGCTCAGGCAAGTCCTACCTGCCAACAATGGGGAGCTGTATCTGTTCACACCAATAATCTCCTAGGAGAAGTCACCATGGAGATGGGTTTTTTAAAAATTCTTTTTCTCTTATTCCTACAGAGGAAGAAACTCAAGATTATGTGACAAAAATCTACTTAAGATTGTCACTGTAGCCCTGAGAATGATGGATGGACACTTGGGAGGTGAAGTGGGAAGACACCTGGAGGTGAAGAGAAAACTTGGGAGTCATTTAGAAGGTATGAAAAGAGCAAATTGCCGAAATCAATGGCTCTTAAATTTTTACCTGCATCAGAATCACCTGGAAGTCTTGTGAAAACAGATTGCTAGGCCCTACCTCTAGAGTCTCTGATTCAGTAGGTCTGGGGTGGGGCCAAGAATTTGCATTTCTAACACCTTCTCAGGTGATGCTGATACAAAGACCACACTCTGAGAACCAATGCTCCAGAAGAATTCACTACAGGAAACCAGGGTGGAGGCTGTGGCAAGAGGAGTCAATGCAGTTACAACTTCCAGCACTTGGCCTTAGCAGATTCTCTTTGGAGAAGAAAAAGAAAGGTGCCAGTTTTCCTTTTTTTACTAGAGACATTCGTCTGAGACATAACACACTACACAATAAAATTAAGCTCCTCTAAAGGAACAAAACAAGAATCTCATTCATTTGCATAATTTTAAAAAACTGTTTCTGTGTGGAGAAATCATGCCTCACTCACCCTCCAGAGCTTCCCTAGGAGGTAAATGTTAAGTGTATTTCATTTAGGAGGAAGCAATTTAGGTAATTGGCTGCAGCCCCCCCTCTTCAACCTTATCTACACACTCCCCTTCACAAACCTCTACAGCAAGTCAGCCTTTTTACCCTGTGACCCCAGCAAGGCTGGTCACACTCCCCCCAGCTGTGAATGGCACCTACACACATGCACATGCATACACTTATCTTCCCTTATGTAAATCTTCCCTCCTCCTCCAGTTTAGGGCCAGAGGCTTCAAGAAAGCCTTTCCTCTTTTTCATCCCTATCACAGTCAGTCAATCAACAAATCCTGTTCATTTTACTTTCCAAGTACCTCCAGAATCCATCCAGTGCCCATTTTTCACTTTCCCTCAACTGGTGTAGATTCCCCCATGCTCTACCTTCTTTCCTCTCTAGGTCTTTGCCCAGGTTGTTCATCTTGACTAGACAGATCTCAGTTTAAACTACATCCCTTCCCAGATGAGGCCTTCTGTGGCCCCTAAGCCAGGTTGGAGTCCCCATTTATCAAGCCCCATTGAACCCTATGTTTCCTCCATCACGAACACTTTTGCCATTTGTGATCTTTTATTATCACAGCAGATCCTAGCCTATCCTGACTGATTCTGTATGACTGACACAGGAATTAGAACACTCAGAATTCATGTCCTCTGCAACCATCAGATCATAGCTTTCATATTATTTCTCTTCTCCATGCCACTAATCTGTAAAATGAGAAACTATCCTTGGAGGGGCATGCACACATTATTCTGAGCAGCTCAGGTGAGTCCCACCTGCCAACAGTGAGAAGATGTATCTATTCACACTAATAAGAGCAGGCATCTTCCCTACTCAACGGTAAGCTCCTCACCACCAGGACCACATCTGTGTTGCTCGCTGCTGTACCTATAGAGTCCAGCACAGCCCCAGACACAATGTAGGCACACACTCGGTATTTAATAAATGCAGGAATCATCACATCAGTTCCTAGGAATCCTCCCTTCTTAATGCCTATAGTGTTTTCTGCCTGTTGCAAGTAATGTGTGGCCAATCAGTGCCACCCACCACCTGAGACAGGCAGGTACCCCATGACATCCAGGAGATGGGATCTAGAGGGAAACAGTAAGCCTTGAAAAGAAGGTGCATCTTTTCCTTGGATGCTGAATGGAATTGAAATTAACTGCAGAGATGTTTCGGTAGAAGGAAAGAGGCTACCTTCTGAGGAATGGTCAGGAGACAAAGTTTTCTTTTAAGAATGAGAGGAAAAGGAATTGTGTGTGACAAGTGTTTTGTAATGGTAGGTCTGCATTTTCTTGCACCTCTTATGGAAGTTGGTAACTTCCCAAGCTAAAGGTTCTGATGGATTCTCCATCCAGACTTAATAACGACAAGCATCCGTGTCTCTAGGATGCCTGAGGACTGAACCCAGTGACCTCCCAAGAGCTCAGGATTCTATAAACAAATTCATTCTGAGCTGGAATTTGGGGAATCCACATCCTGGCTCTCTTGAAACAGCAGTTCTTTCTCAATCTAGGAGACAAGACAATCTTTACCTTCCACTCACTCTCTCTACTAGTATTAATGCTTCCAAAGTCAAGACTCCCAATCCTAGCCTACCTGACTGTCATCTCCCATGGACCGCCAGCATCAAAATAATTTAGGATGTGGCCTCTGACTATGATAGGAGTTGGATTTGATGAAGGGAGCACCACACAAAGGCAGCACAGGCCTTGAAGCCTGGCTAACCCTGGGACAGCATCTTGGCTCTCCTAGCTGTGTGTCTCTGGGCACTTCTTTGGGTCTCAGCTTCTTCATCCTTAAAATGATGATGACAGTCTCTCAGGATTATCCTATTAAATGAGATATGCATGTAAAGCCTCCAGCACAGAGCAAATGTGCAAGGATGTCAGTTTCACCATAATTACAGCTTTCTAGTTTTAAACGTACTATGAGATAATGATTCTAAGCTGAAAACACTATAGAGATGAAATGATATGTTTGGAATTTGCTTCAAAATAATCTAGGAGATGAGGGGGAGGGGACAGATGAAATAAAATTAGCCATGTTTTGGAAATTGTTGAAGATGGGCAATGAGAATATTGAATTGGCCATATCTCTCTCTTTTGTCTATGTTAATTTTCTTTCCATAATAAAAAGTTTAAAGGTGGAAGGGAGGGAAATGCTGTAAAATATAAATACTGACAGTTTAAGATCATATTTGATCTAAGTGACTAAACAGAGGAAAAATGATTTGAAGAAGAAAAAAAAACCTTTAAAGCTAACATCTACCTGTTGTCTTCTGAAAGACAAATGTTTTCTTCAAATAGAACTGTCTCAAATGAAAAGAAGGGGACAGAGCCACCTGTGCACATTTCTTGCCTTTCTTTTTTGGGAAAACACATCCTGCTTGGGCTGTACATGTATTTTTAAGTAGACAAGCCCTGGGTGTTAGAATCCACCTGTGAGCACCCTGAGAGCCCTGCGGAAACCAAGCTGCGGAGCAGGGAAGTTCCCATTTTAGGAAAAAAGAACAGAAAGAACTTGGAATGTCCAGGGACAATGGGGATTACCAGCTCTCCTCTTTGGACTTTGGATTCTTATTTGAGGCTTTTTAGCTCAGTCTGAGACTACACACCCCCTCTCCCCACCTATCCACCCCCATCCCCACACACACTATATACACACATTTTTTAAGAGATAGGGTTCATGGCAGGATGTGGTGGCTCACGCCTGTAATCCCAGCACTTTAGGAGGCCAAGGCAGGAGGACTGTTTCAGCCCAGGAGTTTGAGACCAGTTTGGGCAACATGGCAAAACTCCATCTCTGCAAAAAATACAAAAATCAGCTGGGTATGGTGGTACATTCCTGTAGTCCCAGCAACTTGGGTGGCTGAGACAGGAAGATTGCTTAAACCCAGGGTGGTCAAGGCTGCAAGAAGCCAATATCGTGCCACTGCACTCCAGCCTGGGTGACAAAGCAAGACCCTGTCTTTAAAAAACAAAAGGAAGAAAAAAAAGATATGGGGTCTTATTAGCCTTGAACCCCTGGGCTCAAATCCATCCTCCCAACTCAGACTCCCAAGTATCTGGTATTACAGATGTGTGCCAGCTATATTTTCACCCAGATGAGTGGGTCCTCTCTGAACAGAACTAATGTGCCAGAAGATATATCAGGAGAAAGGGTTCATTCAGGGGAAAGGGAACTTTTAAGAAGCTCTGACAATACCCATCACAGCACATCCCTGTACCATCTCTCCTTTTCCATCTCTTGTCACTGAGAGAAGTCTGGAGATTGAAAAATAAAATTCTTCTCATATTCGTCTTTGAATCAGCCAATCCACTCACTCCAAGCCCCTCTGTCTCAGAGAGAGAACAACCCAGCAACTTTTGTTTTCAGCAAATGCTTTTAGTCTCCCATACTCTGCCCAGATAAGGAAAGTACATAAAAATACTTACTCTTCTTGAAGAATGAATTCACTATTTTCTGGAGAAAACTGCCCCGTCACAGGATGCCTGAATGCTGTAGTCTGCTGGTTATGGCTAAAGAGAAAGAGAAATGATGGATGAGAAGTCGTGTGAATGGAAGGATTACAGATACCATAGGTCAGAGAGCAATATCTGGTGACCCTGGTCATCAAAGACAGGGGGAGAAAAATGGGCCTTTCCTCTCAGACACACTTAGTCCGTCAGAACCCTGCTACACTAAAAAAAAATAAAAAAATAAAAACCCAAGAATTTCCAACTCAGGTGCCAGAGCCCACCTACAAGACAGGGGGACTTCTAAGGAAGTCTTGGCTCCAAGAGAATACTGCATCTTGGAGAAGAGAAGTTCCATGAAGTACTTACTCCAGCAAACTGAGACGCTGAACAAAAAGATACCTTAAGACAGTTCGTGCTAAAACAAGAATGAAGGAAAGCAGATGACACTTCCGACAGTTTCCAAAAATCATGAACCAAGTGAAAGAATTCTAAGAATTAACCACCCACCCAAAAAAATCTATCTTCTGAAAATTCTTCTCCCTACTACAAAATGTCTTCACTTCAATGATGGGATATAAATGGATGGGCATGTCTCTGCAACATGACCCGCACAATTTCAGCACGGTGGAGTTTCTATCACCCTTTTGAAGTTAGGAAGGATCAGCTTCCACACCAAGCTGACAGACACAAACAAAGCGTGTAGGTGTTTTGTGCCACGACAAAAGCTGCTTGGTTCTCTGAAAGGGAGGAGGAGCTGGGTCTAGAGACTGTTGCTTTGCTCCACAAATAAACTAAACTAACCCTCTTCTTTTTCAAACAAAATATGACGTATTTAAATTTATTTCAAAATCATAGTAATTGCAGACTTTTTTTTTTTTTAAAGACAGAGTCTCACTCTGTTACCCAGGCTGGAGTGTAGTGGTGTGATCTCAGCTCATAGCAACCTCTACCTTCTGGGTTCAGGCGATTCTCTTGCCTCAGCCTCCCAAGTAGCTGAGATTACAGGTACATACAACCACACCTGGCTAATTTTTGCATTTTTAGTACAGACAGGTTTCTCCATGTTGGCCAGGCTGGCCTCAAACCCCTGACCTCAAGTGATCCACCCACCTCAGCCTCCCAAAGTGCTGGGATTACAGGCATGAGCCACTGTGCTGGCCTGCAGACATTTTTTAAAATGTAGAAAGTAAAAAGTCACCCATGACCTCACTATGTGGACATATCCCTGGGTATTCCCCTCTTCCAAGTTTTAAGTTTTCTTCTACTTAAAAAGAATCACTTCAGGCTACTGAGACTGAGTTCACCGTATATAAAAATCTATGTCCTGCTTTTTCACATCCTATTAACATAGAAAAAGTCCTATATCATTAAGACTTCTTTATTTGAAATAGCCGAATAATAGTCTTATTATATGAATATTTAAAAAAAAAATTTTTTGACAGTGTTCCGCTCTGTTGCCCAGGTGGGAGTGCAGTGGGGTGATCATGGCTCGCTGCAGGCTCAAACTCCTGGGTTCAAGTGATCCTCCCACCTCAGCCTCCTGCGTGGCTGGGACTACAGGTACATGCCACCATGCACAGCTAATTTTTTGGTGTTTTTGTAGAGATGAGATCTCACTATGTTGCATAGGCTGGTCTCAACCCTAGGCTCAAGTGATACATCAGCCTTGTCTCCCAAAGTGTTGAGATTATGCCTGGCCAAATGCAAAAAATTTTTTTTCATATAACCACTCAAAAAATTGTCTACTGGGCACCTATGTGCTAGGCACGCCTTTAAGTACTGGGAATAAAAGGTAAACAAAAAAGTCCTTATCCCATGGTATCGACATTCTAGAAAGATTTACACTCTTCAACTGCTAGATATTTTAGGTGCCTGCTCCACTATTATAATCTTTATCTCTTTCAGTGTAATTTGAATTTTGCAATTCAAATTTTTCCTTGGGTTAAAGTCTCAAAGGAAAAATTACCAAATCAAAGGGCATGGTCATTTTTTAAGGTTCCTAAAACAGACGGTTAAAACGCTTTCAGAGTCAATAGATTACCTCAGTTTGGTAGTGTTAAAATATTGCCCCATCTCCATATTGAACACTAAGCCTCCCTAGAAATTCCTATGTCTAAGTCAGCAGAGCATGAAGGTTAAAAAAGAAAAACTCTCTAGGCCTACAAAGTTGTTTATTTTTGTTTTGTTTTGTTTTTGTTTTTGTTTTTTCACTCCAACCTAATTCCTGGCCAGAGCCTCCCACCTTCAGGTGTCTGGGGTAACCTGGGCACTGAGGGTTAGAGTGGTCTGAACCCTAGCAAGCCAAATGAGAAGCAGGCCATGAGGCAAGGCTATTCCCTAGTCCTGCAACTGTGCACTGTGCCACCATACCGTCTCCCTTCCCAACCACAGCCAGCCCCTAAATTCCCTGGTCCTGGTCCCAGGCAAGCCTGTGGAATTCTATGACTTCCCCTGGTAGCCAGCAGACTAGTCTTCCCAAAAAAGCAGTTAAGGCTGAGTATCTAAGATAAGGACAAGAAGCAGGCCTTCTTAACACCTGTTTTTAAAATCCTTGCACCATGTTCAAGAGTTAGGCTTTATTTACACCTAGCTTTTTCTTTTTTCTTTTGAGACGGAGTCTTGCTCTGTCACCCTGGCTGGAGTGCAATGGTGTGATCTTGGCTCACTACAACCTCTGCCTCCTGGGCTCAAGTGATTCTCCTGCCTCAGCCTCCCAAGCAGGTGGGATTACAGGCATGTGCCACCATACCTGGCTAATTTTTTTATTTTTAGTAGAGACAGGGTTTTATCATATTAGCCAGGCTGGTCTCCATCTCCTGACCTCAGGTGATCCACCCACCTCAGTCTCCCAAAGTGCTGGGATTACAGGTATGAGTCATTGCTCCCAGTCCAGCTTTTCTAGAAACTTATCTCCACTTGCCAGAGAATCTGAAAATGCAAACTCTAAATCTAAACCTGCCTCATTTCCACCTGGAGGGGGAAAAAAAAAAAACCCTGCTCATAACGGAAATAACAATAAAGCATTAGCACCACTATCCGTCATTATCTCTAAAGGGCTTTGCAGTTTACAAAGCACTTTCTTACACATCTGGGATATTAACACCATCAACCTTCATTTTATGAATGAGGAAATACGGCTCAGAAGTGAATGAGGGGTTGCCTTCTACAAGATAACTTTGCCAATAAATTATAAGACTGGGACATGGGGAAGCTGTAGTGGCTCACAGCTGTAATCCTAGCACTTCCAGAGGCTGGGGCAGGTGAATCACTTAAGCCGAGGAGAAAAGAGATGAACCAAAGTAATGCCTTCCGAATACTGAGGTCTTAAAATTCCCCCCCCACACCCCCTTTTTTTTTTTTAGACAAGGTCTCACTTTGTCACCCAGGCTGGAGTGCAGTGAAACGATCTCAGCTCACTCACTGCATTTTCAACCTCCTGGGTTTTAGCGACATTCCTGCATCAGTCCTCCAAGTAGCTGGGACCTACAGGAGCACACCACCATGCCTGACTAATTTTTTATATTTTTAGTAGAGATGGAGTTTCACCATGTTGCCCAGTCTCGATCTCCTCAGCTCAAGCAATCTGCCCTCTTTGGCCTCCCAAAGTGCTAGGATTACAGGCGTGAGCCACCATGCCTGGCCAAAATTTCCTCATTTTTGATCAAACACACTCAGTTTGCTAAGGGGAGGTCCCTGGTCAATTCCATTCAATATTCGCAAATACCTAAAAGAGCTGGTTAGGTATCACAACACCAGGTCCCAAACGGAGAAAGTAAGGCCCCCAAAGAATGGAGATTTACCTACAACAGCAATCAGCTCCTGTGTTCCCGGCACACACCACCCTTTTCATCTCTTTCCACTACTCCAGACTCACCCTCGTCAAACAAAGGCTGCCTATTAAACACTGGCTCCCCAAAACCCATTTGGTGATTGCAAAGTCCTCTGGCTTTATTTGCTGTCCCTTGCTCCCCACCACAAAAGCCCTCAGTCAGTTCCATTTCCTGATTCTAACACCCATGAAGAGTCCCATGTCCTATCACTATGTCTCAACAAGCATTTAGCAGGCACAGACACATCCCTGAAATACCTGCTCTTAAACCTGAATTGCTACCTTGCTCTATGGTAGTACAGAGATGGTCTGGCTGGGAGCCAAGTGGCTGGTTTCAAGGGAGCACAAAACTCTCCCTGTTCCACACAAGTGCTTCTGTTTCTCTTCAGGACACTGAGAAAGTAATTTGGCAAATGAGGTAAATGCAATCTAGCCTCTCAAATCCTCCTCTTCCTCCCAGAAGCAGCCCCTCAAAGTTGAATGGCAGCCAGTCTCACTTAAGAAAGGACCAGGGAACATGGATAGAACAGGGCAGGGAAGGATAACACCTGTGAAAGTGAGCTATGGGTAACCATCCACGTAAATAAACACGTCTTCACAAGCCCTGGGCCAGGAAGGACTTGGGTTAGGCCCTAAAGAAGTCTGACAGCAAACACAAGAGCCTTGATAAGAGAATAAAGTGAGGGCCATGGAGACCTGGAGACTGATTTGAGCTCAATGTAAGCTAGTCAAAATGTAAATACATCCTACAGCTTCTTACAACATTTTTCCAAGATTAATTTTCTATTCATATGGATTTTGATTATAATATGAGCAGTGACTCTTGTTGGTTAAACATAAAGGTTGCAATTACTTAGCACAGCAATTTTTTGGCATGGCAAGAGGTTCTGGTGTTATGTGAGTGATGCTCAGCAGTGGGGGTCAGAGCACGCCGATAAATCTGGTTTTCTGACAGTGGTGGTATTGGTATGCTGAAAGTGTGACAAATCTGCTCAGTCAGCACCAGCTCTTATCTGGCCCATGCTATAAAGAGGAGTAGAACCAGCTTAAAATGTAAGAAAAACATCGGCCTAAAAGCCTGAGGAGGGACTCTATCAAAGATCTTCTCATTGGTATGCTCAGCAGTATCTGCCCCACTGGACCTTCCCGTTCCTCAGTGTGGCTCCCAGAACACTGTAAAAGCGTTACCCTGCAGCCCTGAAGCCACATTCAGCACTGCCCTCAGGCTTGT